TGCAGATTTTGAGAAAGAGTTAGAAGAGGAAGAATTTAGAAAATCTCAAGGTGTAAAGTATTGGGAGAAAAAGCATGACATCCAGAAGGCTAAGGGTGTTAAGAAATGCGTGGTCAAAAGGGAGCTTCGACATGACAAGTTCCTAGAATGTCTTAGAAATAAGAAACTAACCTGATATGATATGTATGGTCTCCGTAATTATGATTATCAAATATATCTGAAAAGAGTAAATAAAATCGGGTTAAATCCATATAATAATAAGTGCTGGATCTTACTTGATAGGATTCAAACACTCCCCTATGAACATTGGCGAATTAGACTTTATAAACGCCTGTTAGCATCTGAAATATCTCCTGAAAAAGCAGAAGAAAGGGCTATGAAAGCTAAACTTTGTATCAAGGCATAGATGTTTTTATAACTAATATTTTTTCGGATAAAAAAAATTCTAAGGAATATATTTTCATTAATTAAAGTTTTTCTATTGCTATAATAGAAATATACAAAAATGGTTGATCATAAGAATATAGAACTTGCGCAAGTTAAAGTCATAAAAACAGCATTGCGAAAAGACAGAAAATATGATAATCTTGCGAAAAATTATGGAGACTATCTAAAGAAACTGCGAGCTGAAAAGAATCTGAATGACTATATTAAGGCAGTTGCAACAAAGATGTTTCTAAACGAAGAGGCATACACTCTAAGACTAGAAAATTATCGCAAAAGGTATAAAAATAATAATCTGTTTGCCAGCCTAGAGGAATTATATGAGCTTTATTATCAAATAGCTAAGGAGGAGAATCGCGAAAGGTCAGATGATGAAATAGAGCAGATGCTCAAAGCAATGACAATCTAGCTGTCTTCTGACAAAGCTTTTTTATAAGCTAGACTAGTGAATGGTGAATATATAGGAAAGACAAGTTATAGCATTAACATGAATATTATATATTTTTTTCTGGCGTATGAGCAAGCGGGTAGGAAAGACACTATGCATACATTAATATTAATTTTTCAATTAAGGATATAGCCTCCTATAACAAAGTATGGGGTTTACTAGCAATTTGCACAATATGAAAAGTTTAGATGATATTATAGAAGATTCGAATAAAAATATTAAAAAGGTATTTCTAGCAGAAGTTGCATCTGAATTTCGACAAGAAGCCTATATAATTAGTCTTAAATTGACATTGGATAGATTGGCATGAGAGCTAGAGTTTGCGCAAAAAGATGATAAGCCAGCCAGTTCGAAGCAGTGATCATCAGCTTAGAAGATTTTTGCTAGGTCACAGATTGTGCAACAAAAATAGGCCGATCATCAGTCAGGTTTTGTGCGACATAATAATTTTTGCATATATATTCGAAAAACATATTAACTTTTATTCTTTATTTTTTTTCCCAAACGAATGTGAGAAAATGTGAAAGGGGGTCTAGTTGCAACACAGGACTAGCTCTAAAAGTAAATATTGACGACAAAAGCATATGTTATGAAAGGCTGAGGGAGTCACAATTTTGAGATCATCAGACGTAAGACTAACTATGTGTCTCTCTGGTAGATCTTCATGTGAAAAGATAAGAACATTCCGTTTGCATGTGTTTTCATGAAACTCTTGGCATCAGATGACAATACTAATTACGCCATATACCTCCTTATCTTTTTTCCTTCCCAACAGCAAGATATAAAGCATGTAGGGGTATGTGAAAGTTCAGCCAACTTTTCGCAAAAATAATATCTGTAAAATATCGCAAAATAAGGTATGTATATGCCAGAAGTTGTGTATGTATAAGAGCGAGCTTTTTCTTACTATGAGTCTTGTATTTAGGAAAGCAAGATGTTCAATAGTATTATTACTCTCAATTGTCTTCTTTTACCTCGCAATATAACTCTAAGATCAAACTTATCAGAAGGAAGTATTACTACGCTTAAAATCTTTACCGACGAAACAGTTGATCAGTTAAGAATTATGATTAGAGAAAGGTAGTCATCCTTATTTGAAAAGATTTCTCCTGCTGAGTTTTTACTCTGGAAGATCAATGATACCAGGGAAGATACATCAATTGAAAGCCAAATTGAAGAATATTCTAAAGGGAAAAGTCAAAATGAAATAGGAATGCCTTCACATGAGTTGATTTCTAAGTATTTTCCCCAACAACCCCCCAATGATAGAATTAATATTTATGTATTCATTTAAAGCATCATGTAAAGCGATAGACCTGAGCCATGAAGTATAGTTATACATAGCGCCTTCAGCCAATTTTTATGTATTGTAAGTCAACTTGGTCCCTCTAGGACCCTACTGGCAACGTTTTTATTTCATAAATAAAGTATTATTACATGAGAAATGGGTCACGTGTAATGAAATATAATCTATCTGAACCAGTCTTGCCTATATAAAAAACGTCAGGTGATAAGTGAGAAGAGTCTTCAAAGTTAGTAAGGCGCAGTGATTAGGCTGTCGTTCTACCTATGATGCAATGTGGCTGATCATACGGCAGGCTTGTGAAATAGAATAATTTCTCACATATACCCTGCCTTAGTATTTTTTTCGCAAATAAAATTCTTTTTACTCTTGTTCTCACATACCGCCTTTTGAGCCAATAACATTTCGCAAAATATACTATAAAAGCCAAAAACATATCTATCACTTTACTATATCTCATTAAAGGAAATACTCTAGTGAATGCCTTCTCTGTTAAAATAAGCAGAGACGAACCCGTTAGCAAACTCAAGAAAGCTATTAAGGCAGAAAAGGCACCAGAGTTCGACAATTTTCCTGCAGACAAGCTCAAACTATGGAAGGTGACGATCTCTCGATCAATTAAAAAATCTAATATTCTAGGACAGTGATGAGCTGTTGGCAATAAGAAAGATTTTGAAATACTTTGAAGACTCACCTCCAGAGGAACATATTCATGTCATTGTAAAGTTACTACGTAAGCGTCTGGTATAATATGTAATTTCTCATTATTTGCCTTCGTAATATTAATACGTATTCATTTTTAGTTCTCAGCCTGGAAGAGGCATTGTCGTGTATTCCACCACCTATAACTTATTCTCCAGACTGTATTACCTCAAAGATCACTACTAAGGCTAGTGGTGACCCACCGGCAAGTGTGAAACTTTGGGAAGACTTTTTTGAGGAAGTGAACAGATTCCGTTTTGATCAGCAACCGATATTTGAGAGGCTGAGATTTAATGACGAATTTAATGATGTGGTTGATGAAGAGGATGTTTGTAATGCTATAAAAGTCAATATTTGTCAGATATTGAATAAACTTATGGGGCCAGACTGCGTATATTCAAGAAAATCTACTGACACTCACGGCATATCAGATTTCAACTGTCATCTTGTGAGTTCATTGATTTTGGTGATCGAGGCTAAAAAAAACATGTTTTAGAAGATATGGGGAAACAGAAATTTCCCGAATTTTATCAGACGAGTAAAGGCAAGGATGTAGTTCAACAAATCTATAATTATATAGGAGGAAACGAACTTAGATATGGTATTCTCTCCACCTATGATAATCACTGATTTCTACGATGAGAACATGCAAAGCTTTAGATCTCAAAAACCCTTCTACTAGAATTCGAATCTCCACTGGTACTCAAGGCATATGCTTATCTAACTCGACAGGCGAAAGAGAATCCTAAGTCTCCTAAACCTTAAGTAGTAGTATCAGTTCAAGGGGATAATGATTCACGTACTCTTCGATCACACTCAAAGTCATCTTCTAACTCCTCATTAAATCAAAAGGCTTTCAGCTCCTCATTAAATAATCAGTCTTCCAGCACCTCTGCGAACCAACAATCTTCTCCTGTAGACCAACAAGATTATAGCTTCACAGACTTCAAGTTTAAGGGCATACTAGGTGAAGGACGAAGTAGTAAAACGCTCCTATGCGAGTTTTGTGATGATACAATTGTTCTGAAGAGCGTAAACTTGTCGAAGGCTCCATTGTATGTTCTGAAAGAAATGCAGAAGGAAGTAGAGATGTACAAAGATCTAGCTAATATTCAAGGCAAGTATATCCCAAAGCTGGTCTATTATGGATATTATGGAGGAGGCATGAGTTTCGTTATCGGCTTAACCATTGTTAGCACTATGTTAAGCGATCAAAAAATAACGGAACAGCAAAAGTCAAGAGCTATTAAGAGATTAGAAGCAATCCACAAGCATGGTATCCTCCACAATGATATTCGGAAGGAAAATATCTTAATTAACGATAAAGGTGCCCTATACCTGATTGACTTTAGGATGGCAAGCCAGGAGGACACAAAAAAGAAGAGAAAGCTTTTCGACGAGGAACAGCTCAAATTATCTCAATTTCTAGATGGATATATTGTGTAAGAATTTATTATTTTACAAATTTCTGTACTACGATTACTTGTAATCCTAATTTCTTATAATTAATAATCATGTATTTTACAGACATTTCGTAAAGAAGGAGGGGCGAATTTTCAAGTCACGTAAATGTCAGATGGTTAGTTAGACTATAGGGATATACATTAGACATTTAGTATAGAAGCGTTATATATTACGGGCAATATCCTGAACATTTGTATTTATTTTTCGCATGTATTAATAAAATATTTTTTTCTTGGCATTTTTCCGAGACCGCACGATCTCAGAAATCTGGTGACTTTATAACCTATTTCTCTTGATAAAATGACAGTCTCTATGTATATATATACTAACTTTTGAATATTTTACTTCTTGTATAAAATTTATCAATCATGTCATCTGAGCTTGAAGTATTGAAACAGCATATCGTTGAACTTGAGGCTAAGAATGCTGAGCTTGAGGCAGAAAAAGCTGAACTTTTAAAGCGGATTATGGAGAAGAATACTAGACACGATGTTAGAGTTGAGAAACTGGAGCAAAAAAATAAGGAGCTTGAAACCAGACTTGCGATAGTGAAACAGGCTTTCTTACCAGTAGAAGAGCAGTCGTATAATGATAATCCTTCTGATGATAGTATATCTAACTTTAATTCAGTTGCGGAGTATCATGAGAAACTATTGGTGGATGTAGAAATAGATAATTCCTTTCCTAAAGAGGTTTTCTATAACAAACAAGAACTGATAATAGAGGTGGTGACGATACCTGCCAACTCTGCAAAGCGCCTTAATGGCTAACCGTTAGAAGAGAAAGATATGGATAGTTTCTTGCTTGAGGCTCATAAGAAAATCGTTAGTAGTGAAATAAAGCAATGCAATAAGGAGAAGAAATTTTTACGTGAGTCAATTAAAAATCAAGTCTATTTAAAATTAACATATGGGAGTGTTTCTAGGAAAATCAGGTTCTGAGAAATTTTTGACTAAAATTAAGAGCTTAATACATTTTAATCTAATTACATCAAAAACTAAAATGCAATAAAAATCTCAATTTTGCTAAAAAATTCCCAGAACCTGATTTTCCTAGCAATCTACCCATATGACAAAAAAACCGTTACCAATGGTAATGATCAAGATTTGAAATTATCACTTAGCACAGGCAATAATATCTCTGCTCCATCATCCATTGAGAACAACTTATCATGTGACATGAAAATGATCACTTGTACCAATAGTGAGAATGCCTCATCTGATGAAATGTCTGGGCCGATTGCTACACAACCGCTTGATAGAAATCAAGTCACTGAGCAAACTTTAAAGCATGAACTTTCTAGGCCTATTTCTTCAGTGGAATCAGTTAAACTACATGATGAGTCTATCTTAAACAATGCAATTGAGGACTCTATGCAGAGATTAGCTTATTGGATTGATGAGGAGGCTATGAAAATAGGTCTAAAAGAAATCTTATGCTTATATCATTATTCTTTTGAGTTTGAAGAAAAAGTAAAAAATATTACAGCTGATGGCAAGACTAAAGATAAGATAGCAAGATCGATGATATACAAGGAAATGTTGCAGTATTTACCTAATGTCACTTTGGATAATTTGCAAATCTGAACACATAGAGCTAAAAATATTCTTATGCTATTTGGAGAAAAAGGGGTTGGGATTGATAGAATTAAGTTAGTCACTTGTAGCGTGAGTGATATTTCTAGATTAAATAATACTCAAATTCAAAATATTATAGATTATATGAATGATCAGGTTCATAAAACCATTACCAATGGTAACGATCAGAGTCATATGACTGAAATTTCTGAGACATTATGTCCCAGAAAAAATTTGCCTAAGAATACTCCAGCAAAAACTAAGAATGACCAGATAAGTGCACCTATTCCTTCAATTCATAACTCTAATTCTTCAAGTAATTCCTCTGGGGCTGGACCAGCACGAATGATTTCACCAGCCACACCTCAAGCAAGTATATCACCCGTATCAATTCCTGGAACTAATTCAACTCATGACCGATCCTATTTTCGCAATAAAACATTAGACCAATATTCTACTTTATATAGAGAATTTAGTAGCGAAAATTCGATTATTATGGTATTACCAATGAGACATCGTGCCCATTATGCGAGTTAGACCATAATGATGATGAAAGCATAGAAGGTAGATATAAGGCTGGATCCTATTTTATTAAATGTGAACAGCGTGAACTTGAGATAACTGCATAGTCTCATTATTTTACAATATTATATTTGCTCACGCTTCATTGTGATATTTTTTACAGGACTAATTCATGTCAACTATCGCTATTACCTAATTTAAATTGATTTGCAATCATAGAAAAAAGTCAACATGTCCAAGTCCGATAAAGTATTAACCTCCGAATATCTGGATTGGCATGCCAAATTAAGTGGGTTACCAAGCGTTTTGACGGATAAGATTCAGTCCAGCTTATACAAAAAATATAAAAAAGAAACTGGACACGAGCCATGGCAATTATTAGAAGCGCATGCATCAGAAGCCCGCCTTCTCATAAATTCGAAGCCAGAAAACAAAGTATCCTATTTATCTTTTTCTAGGCAATGTGAAGAAAAAGGGCCTATCACTTTCGAAGCCAAACCTGATCCAGAATTAATTATCAGATCCGTGTTAGAGCATTTCTCATACTTGAAATTCCGAAATAGTTTTAGGGGGATTGATAATTATAATTTTACATCACCTCAGCCGTGGAGTTCACCATGCCCTATTTGTGATGGAAAACATGGGAATTATGGATTACATGGCTCATGGTACTGCGAAAATGGGAATCAGTTCCCTTATGATCCTGAATTAGCGAAGTTGCTATCCCAAGATAAGTTGGAATATTGTCTTACCTGCAACACTTCAAGCAATAAACTCAAGTTCGCGATAGTAGATAGGCTGGTCATGTGAGAGACTATCACCCAGTGCAGTACGATATCGACGAAAGATTTGCTTTATCTTTGAATAAACAGTATGAAAAAGTGCCAGCGAAAAAACAATATTGGAGAGGAAACTTCCGGACAAGATATTTATGCAGTTAAGATGGATTTACTTTCAGTTATGTATGCATTTGCAAGGAGGCAACAAGCTAATAGACAATTTTTTTCATTTAGGATTTCGAAAATCAGCATCATATATTTTGCTTGCTCCTCTAGCATTTTCTGATTAGCTGTGTAGCTAAAAATTTCATTCCACTTTGAGCATTTGTATCGAATTTTTTTTTCGGAAAATGATTTTATTAATAAATGATATATTGAATAATAAAGAATTTATTTGTTTGATTTTTTAATCATGTTGCGAATCGAAAAATCCGTGCGGATTGCGTAAGTTATCATGTGACCGTTAATTATATATACTGTATACTGCGTACAGTATATGAGTATACCCCCCCAAAATTTACTTTTATAATTTTTCAGTAAGTACTTCCATTTCTCATGTTTTTCAAACATGCCTACTCTTCAATGACCTCAACATTTCTTTCAGCTCATGTCGAAAAAATATACGGATAAATATTTCGATAGAAAGGCTTCCGAATGGAATATACTGGATTTTTTAAACGAATGTGAAGCAGAACAGTTCGATCTGAAGATTCACCGTTACATTAAGAGCCTCGAGAAAATTGCAAGTGATTCCGAGCGTGAAAGTGATTGCAGGAGTGAAACGGCACAAATTTTGCTCGATAATTATAGGAAGGCGAGTATAGAAGCTTTTGTCATTAAATATAGTCATGAATTGATAGCGTAGCAGTGGCTTTCAAGGTTGTTCGCTATGACACGCAGGTGGCTTTGTAGGTTGCCTGTCGTTAAAGATCCCGCCAGGGCGCAGGTGGCTTTGTAGGTTGTCTGCTGTTCAAAGGCTTATAGCTGATTTGGCGGGATGGGAAACTGGGAGGTGAATTGGAGATACAGTAGGTTCTCCAAGAATATTGCTAATTAGCTGAAACTTCCGCTCTAGGGCAATCAACTAGATTACCATCTGGCAAGGGCATGGGATAGTGGACGATCGTACAATCAGATTCATTGCCACCAGCCGACAATTATGAATGGTGGGATTATAAATGGCTTTATAAATGGGACTATGGCCGGTGGAACTTTAACTGCCGAATCATCAAATAAGAGGGATCAGGAAAAGGTACCAACGTGTATTTTTTTTATCTAGTTGAGAAACAGTGGAGCTAATTATTTTACCATTTTAATCCTTTAGGAAGATGAACAAAAACAAACAAAGCGAGTTCGCTTTCATGAAGAGAAGCCTCCGTCGAAAAAGAAATCTAAATCAGGCAAAAGAGTCAGCATATAACTTGATTTTTGGTTGAAAAAAAAAACATCTTTCACAAAAGGGTAAATCGAGTTATTTTCTTTATAGGGTGATACACTACCTGACGGTACAAAGATTACGAAGCCATCTCCTATAAATTATGCACAAACGGATGAAGGTGATGAAACCGGTGATGGGATTCCTTCGAATGAAGCAAATGATTATAGCGACGAAGATGAAGAAGCTTTGCCTCCAGAAGACTCGCTTGCTTTTGCCCTTTCCAGCTCAAAAGTTTGGACTTTGCCTTCGGGAAAGAACGTTGGTGACATCTACTCCGAAAAAATATCTGAAAACGCACGCACAGTAAAAAATAAGAAGAGACTAACGGCAATTGAAAAAGCCATATTGCGATATGGTGCATCAAGGATAATTGATTTATCCGCTCACATGAAAAAGTGGTTTTGCGAAAACGACAAAAAGTTCATTAAGAAAGATTACGAATCTATGTTGCGAGTTCCCGAAATGACAGGCGAGGAGAGTTCATTTGTTCTAAAAGTCGAGGATGTATGAGTTTTGTTTTTCTTAAATTATCTTACTTGTCTATATGGATGCATATGCTTATGAATTCATTACTCTATGTAGATGGTATGTAAAGGAAACGTAAACCAGGCATATAAATACTGTACGGAAATCCATTCAAGTTCAATCGAAGATAGTTACTTATATAAAATAAGTAAAATATATGGAGATTTGTGAGTTATTTGATTGCTATCTAAGATATTTATTTTTTCGTGATTCTTATTCTCACTATTCAACATATACAGCATTTACAAGAGCAAAGGCAAGAAGATATTTTAGATTTTACTACAAAAGGTGCACACACAGAAGTAGACGTAATCCTAAAAGCTTGTGCGTACATTGTCGAGGGGCTTAACAAGAGTCTCACAATTTACCCAAGATGGTTGGTATAATATTGTTTGCTTTATATTCAAAATAATATAACCATTTCACAAGTCATAATTTATAATTTATGCATTCAAGGGGCGAATCATTTTGCCCATTAAGTAGGAGTGCGGATCACATTAATGGGCGCAAATGTGATGTTCGCTTTCTAA